ATAAGTAATTGTGCTTTGTTATTACCAGGATGTACGGTAATAATTTCTTACTTATTTATCCTTACTTACTTACTTACTTACTTATATCCGATTTGAGCGGAAACTGAAACTAGTATAAAGCGGCCGTAGAGTGACCCTGTGACCGGCAGATGCCCTTATACATGTATGCACCAAGGTCGTCTGGTCATTAGTGAGCTCTTCTCAATTAGCATACGTGAAACTCTACCCTTCATTAGCTTCTGACCCGCTGACACACAGAACATAATTACAAAAGGTCACAACTCTACATCATGTTGCAATTTTATACCTGGAGGGATTTAGACTCCTGTCTGACCATATATATGAATGTGTTAGAGTAAGAATTGACAGAGCAGACCATATGCGAAGGTAAACATTATGCATTTGCTTTGCAAATGTTACCTTTTTAGCTATTATTTCTTAGAGGTTAAGGGCTCAGACTGTACAGTATTTGTCAGTAATGTGATGTCCTAAAAGAACAGAAGTACTTTCTTTCTTTACTCTCACTTTTGGTCCTTATGAAGTCTTGTATCATTTTCTGTTCCGATCGTTACACTGCCTTCATTAAATGCGTCTCTAGCTCAGCCACTGTGGATTCGCACACACGTAATTGAGCACGAAACCACTCAAATCCCTACATCAGCATTTATTCGACCGAAAAACAAGCAATAAAGCCCCGACTGCGCTCCGTGTGAGGCAATTGGCAGCCTACCTCATTCTTACTTTCAATCAGCATCGGATCTTTGCTGCTTTGTGGATCTAATATCCTTTGCCTCGAGTAATCATTGTCGCCGTGGATTGCATCGCCGATCTCTGCAGCATTGCCGTTCATTCCAGAATGGTATCAAACAATCTACAACGCCGCTACGGAGGCCCGATAATGATAATCTAGTCGACTGGGTACCAAATCACTACTATCTACAGGCTCACTCAAACAATAACATACACCTACCAAAGACGGAAATCACCCCCTGTTATATTGCTGTCTCAAAAGTGCGTAGATGTGCATCCTTTTGTTACATTGCTTTCATCAGCTTCCACGAAGGCAATATAAATCGTCAGATTCCTATCATACGGAAGGCTGAGTGCGGCACAGTTTCCTTTTCTTTGGACCTTGGGGGTACTTTTTTATTCTGTGTATATGGTTTATTGTGAAGTTAGAGGTTTGACCAAGAACAATCGGCTACGAAATTGACTGTGTCGAATTGTGCATTCTGTGACTGAGCTCGTGAGATGAATATGAAAGGACAAGTTTACGGGGAAAAAAAACTGCCGCTCAAGGTGTGACCAAAACATTTCAGGTCTCCGCCCACTAAAGCGTGAACCAATCAGCCAATAGTGACAAGAATGATTGACATCGATTTCACATGAATATTCATGAGTTGCAAGTTAGGATTTTTGACTCCCCATTTGGACCACCGTGATAGGCCGTACATGTAGGGGGGTCACCTCTATCTCTATGCGGGGAGGGAGAGTCCCGAAGTCGGCGGAACTGAAGGATCGATGCGGCGTGTCCATCCGCTTGTCGTACCCATCTGTCCCTGTCATGCTGTCTGACCGTCCCCGCTGTCTGAATCATTTATCATCCAGGAGGATATCAAAGGAACGTCAGCACGGCGCAGGTTCTTACAGCTGATGCCCAACAATAGTCTATCGGCATAGGAATAGATGTACAGTTGCTGGACATGGTCAGATGAGAATACAGTGGCCCAGCAAGACACTGCCACATACTAGTTATGTTTACATTCACGGACATTGTTTTTACTCTGTCTCCTTGTCTTCTTCTGTTCCAAACAAATCAGGTCAATGACCAGAACCAGGCGGTTGTCATTATGGTAACTGGTGCTATAGCAGACACTCTGTGGTGTTGGACCACATTATGTAGCAAGTGGCAGGACATAGTTGGAGGGGATGGAATTGCGTTTGAGTAAGAACAGTAATTTGTTTGACCACCCCCATGCAAATAAAGGTAAACATTATGTATTTGCTTTGCAAATTTAACATTTCTAGTTTTGTTTGCTTTACTTCATATTTTTTACTTCGGATGTCAAAGCATTTCTATTTCCACACAGCATAAGGCCCTGACAATCAAGCTAAGTTGTTGTGAAGGACAGAACCTAAGAGTAGAGTACGAAGAACCTTTTCTGCGGAAATACAAATTATACACGTCTCTATCCCCATTCGGACATACATATTACGCAGCCAATGCATATTACGGATGAACTACATAATGGGCACTTATGATTCTTTGTAGGTATGATTTTATGATGAGGCATCAAATGCTGTATCTTGTATTCATAACAACTATATAAAAACCTCATTGTTATAAAAACGCATGAGCGCAATAGTACGTAGAGATGGGGAGTAGATAACTACGATGAGTAGAGCGTTAAATAGCGAAGGCGATAGAGATAGTCAGGAAATAGACTTTCTACACACCATTTCCCCCTCATCGTAATGCATCAATTTATCACTAGAGGGGAAGTCTTAACCACTAAAATGAATATTAATGAGCTGTATCTCCAGAACGGTGTCAGATATTAAAAATAATATTTTTGTAATCCTCACATCAAGATCTACTAGTGTACCAATTTTCACGAATAAATATTGATGTTTAGATTTTGGCCACTCCCCCGTTGAAATATGCGTTTTTACATCTGTGCTCCATGTACATTACATATTTAATTAGCGCTAGCGGGGGCGTGATACCACAATTTGAGCAAAAAAATCATTTTGATGCAAAAGGACCCCCTCTACCAAAATATCAAGTCAAACTTTTTCTGTAAGATGGGTTGAACGAAATCACATTTTTAGGCCTCTTTCAGGAATTGGCTCCCGTTCTACACAAATGTCCCAGGTATGATGGACAATGGGACATTTGCAATACCACCTTTTGATTTTTGCGATTGCAAGTTTCTAGTAATGAAAATAGACTTCTTTGTCATAGACGTAATTTCTTTCGAACTTCACCATGTTTTCTTTATGCAGATTAACATTGTGTAGAAAAAATCCCATTAAAAAAAAAGTAGCTTTACTATTGTCCAAATTTGAATTGCCTGATTTGTCGGTAAAGGTTAGACATCCAGGCAATAAGATACACCAAAAACAGTTCCTCAAGCAACTGGATATGATTTTGGTACGGTCAGACGTTTCATGTATAGCATGCACTACTTTTAGTCAGTGACACTAGAGAGTTAAGAGCTTTTTAAGAGACTAAGTTGCATCATCCTTATCTTGACTTGTCTAACTTTGGTTTCCATTTGGACTTCCAAAAAATTGTCTTCACTTAAATGCTTGTCAATCTATAGTTCGGCTTTTAAACCTGCATTTCTCCTGCAGTCTCTAGTGTCCCTGACGAAAGGTAGTGGATGCTACCTGAAACGTCTGACCGTTTCCAAAATCATACCCAGTTGCTTGAGTAACTGTTTTTTTTTTCATTTACACCCTGATTGTTACCATCCGCGGCAGCATATCCTACAGCAATGCCCGATTGCTCACTTCCCTATCAATCGTATGCATCAGATGCCTTCAAGGACTTTTCTGGTCATTTGATGGTACCTTTATGTATCAATCAGTTTTGTCTCATTTAATCTTTAACAACCATCCTCCAATGACCTTCCAAGTCCACTACAAGCTTCATTACTATGGAAACCTAAGGTAATGATACATGCAAAGTTCCACCAGCACATATTTCAATCAGTGCCCAGTGGTTGACATTTACACGGGTGCCTATGCATGTTTGTGATTGGAGTGGTTCATTATATAATTTATGTCCATTACTACCATATAAGCCGGTTATCATTAGGTGACAGTGTCTACAAATAGAAAATAAAACAGTTACGCCATTGTCTCATCAAGATGTCATGGCATGCTGGTACGCTCGATCTTTTTTACAATTTTTGCTTTGTTATCTAATCATTTATTGGCGAGATCAATAAAAGATGAGCTATTTGAAACACATGTGTCATTTAATGGACATGCAATGTCGCGTGACCGATGCTTCTTGTTTGCAAAAAAAATACAAAAATACAAAACAGTGCCTCACAAGGGAGACCTATGGCCTTAGTAGTACCAAAAGGCAGTTATGACTTGACTGAAATATTTATCATTACGTGCGATTTTGACTGGGTCAATTCTTCATCAAATTTAGTGATTGCGTTGTCGGTCATAAATATGTAAGGTAAATGGAAAAGGTTGCATGCGATATGAATTACACGGAATATAATTAAAAGGGTGGGCTTGATGTGTGGGTGACCTATTCGAAAGTGACCCCTACAAGGTTAATTACACTGTAGCTATGATTAATTTGGAACGTAAAACTATATCAGTGCAGTTAGATGTAGCTGTATTAGTCTCGTTGTATTGTAGTGATGGTATTATTACACGATGTCCCAAGATTTAGTTTCATCATGATCAGTGCACGTTGATGTTCTAGCATCGAGTAATCGCTTACAAGTAACGTGAAGTTTTTGGAACTTGCACACCGATAAACCCAACTCATGTGTTTAAAGTAACAAAATCAAAGGACGCTAATTTTTATTACCTCTTTCAACAAAGGTACAGCTAACAAAATCTTTACCCGTCGGTGTAGTGCCACAGATAATTAGATTAGGAAGGGTCTCTTGGTTATTATCGTAATTGTATTTCCGCCGTGTTAATGGGAACATCAGGAAGAAAGAGCTACTTGACACTATCGAAGACTTTGCCTCTCCTTAACTTTATGATGTTGATAGAACCATTCAACCACAATGTAACTACTCTGGTGTGACAAGCATTAGGCTGGTCCAGGAGTAAGCTTAGCGGTAAATTTCAATTTCTTTGTCAATTTCATCTACACAGAATCAACTCAAAGATAACTAAAGCCCATTTCTTTATGCAGTAAGCACATGTACTACGGCTACTTTATGCTATGTTTTAAAAGCTACTCGCAAGCTTCTGCCATGACGGATCCAGAAAAGATACCAAGCTAACGAGAAACTCACCATGAAAAATCGGAGGTTCTCTAGGATTCGCTGGCAGATTGTCAACACCGCCTCTGCAGCAGGCAATCTGTCGGTCCCATCTCAAATCATCCTGCTATCTTGTCACTTCTAAGAAGGGTCATCTGTTGGCAAAGAATAGATGATCTGCAGGAGTGATGCCATGTAAGTTTTAGAACGCAATCCGCCCGCTGCAAAAGTCCGCAAAGTCCCGGTGATAAAGCATGGGCCATGGATGGATCTCGTCAGCAAGCCGCAGCAGCAGTGGCCACTGACGGTGTGGGTTGGCCTTCGGGAGATCGCACCAGTTTGTTACCTCACACACAAGGCATCATCTTTGCGCAGGCGTATTCCTGAAAGACTACGTCATTGCAGTTTTTCACAGACGATGTAATTTCAATTACCATCCGCAGATTACGTTCCATGACCTTCTCCCGGCCGATTAATTTATCCAATGGATTAAGCAATATAAATAGCTTAGAGACGTCCAAATTCGCCACCAGTGCAGGAACTTGTATATTCAATATTCATTAAGGTTTTAGAATAGGGTGATTTGTTTGTGCCTTTATTTATACTCGATGATATATCATATGTACAATATATATCACCCCACTCAGCCATGACGGCCGCTTTTCGTGGGGGTCGAGTTGGGACGACAGTCAATGGTAATAATAAATTAATAATTATTGTAATAGTACAAACACTTGTCGAGTTAAGAAAAACAATAATACAAAGCATAAATGATTAGATGAAGCTTACCGGTATGCCATTTTTTTCATTTTGGAGACGAATCTACCAGGTTTATCTATCGAACTTTTAGACCTCTTTTATTGCTGTACCAATGTGGACTACACTCTACATTGTAGCGCAACATCCACGTAATACAACTCTAGACACAACAGCTCCTTCATTTTGCATGAATATGTGCTGTTTAACATAACGTATTTCCAACAAAAATGATATAAGGTCAACTACAAGAACAAGAATGTCTGTAGATGCCAATGCCTTGAGCGTTGAGTACATCTCATGCTTAATTAGTACATTATATGTCTTTCTCTGACGTATAGTTATCCACAGTCTTGTCATATTGTATTGTAATGTAGATACTGTTATCTACCCTACGTTGTCCGATAACTGCATAATCCGTATACCCAGTGTTGCAGAATGATGTATTTTGTCGATACACTGTTTCAAGGTCATGGCCCTTACGGCTGAAAGTGTTACATACATGGTGGCTATGTCATTGATTTTATGATTCAAAGAAACTTCCGACTTCGACAGGGCTGCTTCGGGTGGAATGGGTCAACGAAAAAGATATGCTGTCAAGGGCACGATGGCTTTTTGGTAAATATATGAACATTTCACTGGCATTCGATCCAACGTCAAATAGATATGTAATAGGCTACGAGAAGGCAGCCAAAAAATTGCCCTTTTTCAAATGATGTTCGTCTATAGTATGATTTTTTTTAAATAAATGGGGAATAATAACTGTATTCCTACTGACTGTATATAATAATACTGACTTGTAAGTTATACTGGTATTATTTTTATGGTTTCTACTAGTTTTTTTATCATTTGTGTAATATTTCAGTCGTATTAATTTCCAGCATATTGGTTGTTCGGCCCGTTAATTTTTCTCGTCATTGTGAACTGTTTTGTTAAAGCACCTGTACTGGTTTGCGATGTCTTTGTTTCCGTTAATTTCATTTTCATCAATTTTTTAATAACGTGTATCATCAGCCTACCAGCACACTGTTTGTTTTCCGTTCTATTCTTTGTTACGATATGTGTATTCATTGCGTGCATAATGTAAAACAAACTGTATATGAATAATATGAAAGACAAGATTTTGATTTGATCTTAAAGTTAAACATGTCAATTTCATAATTGCCAAGAGCGTTACATTTATGCCCCTTCGAAGGCCTTGAACGAACAACCTAACCACTTCTGACATCGTCTTATCGATCCCTATATATGTGATGTTACAACTTGCTGACTTCCTCAATAGCGGAACTATGGCCTGTTGGGGTGGCTGAATAATACATATTGATTGCTCCACTGTTTACGTGTTTAGAAAATAAAGAAAAGCGTAAATATATTCAATTGAGAATAATGTTAACACCACAGCAGATAGTAGATACAGTCTGCAATATATTTGGCAGTTGCGCTTTTATATGGTTTATACTGGAATTCGCCGATGGTTAGACATCCAGGTAATACGATACGCCAAAAAGCAGTTACTCAAGCAACTGGATATGATTTTGGGAACGGTCAGGAGTTTCAGGTAGTATCCAACTTCCCAAAAAATTGTCCTTCCAAAAATTGTCTTCACTTCATTTGCATATCAATCAATAGTTCGTGCTTATAAACCTGCATTTCTCCTCTGGTCTCTCAGTCACTGACGAAAGGTAGTGGATACTACCTGAAACGTCTGACCGTTTCCAAAATCATAGTCAGTTGCTTCACTTTTTTGGCGTATACTGGAATTCTTTTTCTTTTCATCTGTTCACTTGGCTAGTAATAGTTACCTGTTTCTACTATAATAACAGTTTTCTGGGACATTTTTCACAGAGCATTCGCAGTAGCCTAATTTTGTTTAGTATTTGATAGATTAGTCATGATTGGGTTTCGTGAAGTCATGTATTGTCCTAGGGCTTTTCAAAATATTTTCAAGTTGAGTTGATCGCGCTGTTTTCTAATTTCCATCCTATACCTTATTCGAAGAAGCTCTAATTATTCAGACACTAGAGTCAAAATGACTTTCATCTTAAAGGCTTTTGAAAATATTTTCAAGTGTAGGTCTAATTAATTAGATAGTACAGTCAAGATGACTTTTAACTCAAAGGCGTAGTTGATCACTGTTTTTGAATTTCCTTACGATACCTTATTCGAAGAAGCTCTAATTGATTAGACACTAGACTTTTACCTTAAAGCCTGAAGTAGATGAGATGTACATATAACAAACTACACTTAGGAGCTGTACGCCTTGAGCTACAATCATGACAGACAGAACGAGACAAACATCAGGATCCGTTAATGGTCCGTTCTAAGTGTCGGCAGTCGATAAGCTGACGCCAAATGTATCGAACTTCCGGCGCTCAGTTATTAGAATTTTCTCCCCACTTTATCACTTCAGGGGTAGTAAAAGTCCTTCTGGTTGTTTCAGACTGTCGACAAATTCAAAGTGAATTGTGTAGTAAGCGGGGCTGATATTGCACTTGCTTGCGGAAACGGGTTAAAGGCATCCAATGCGATTTCCGGGCAGCAAAACTGGAAATACTTTGAATAAGGCAATCTTCACACATTGGTATTGACACATAATGCTTCACATTAGCACATTTGAGTCAGTATTTCATACTTTGGGCTTTTAAAACTGCAGAAACAAGTCCAAAGAGAGTTCTTTATTTTCCTAGAAATCAGCCAAGGGCCCTTCTAGTAACCATTTTTCCTCAGAAATTTGGGAATTTTGCTCCACGAGGGTCAATATACATTGGGATAGTGTGGTTTCAACTCAGTATGTAGGTAATTGACTAGAATATTGGCTTTAAAAATCGGATTTCCAAGCCCTAAAAACTGCATGGGATGCCTTTAACATATAAGATATGGACAAACGTGTTTATGCCTTATGTATCGTATAATTTGTTCACAGCTACACGAAATTGCATTTCCTACTACTTTGGTACTAGGCCATGGAGATACCCCAGATATATGAGAGGGCAATAGGTTTGTAGTTTAAATTCGATTTAAATATCTTCCTAATTTCATTTCTCAGAAGGTCTCTTGATTTTTACTTGTACCTGAACCTTTTTCGCCTTCCGGAGTAATAGATATGACTTTTATTAGGAGATCGTGTAAAATATTCCATCTAAGTCCTAATCTATTTTTGTAATCAAGGAGCTATTGTGTTACGGTGTATGTACGTGCTAATGTACGAAGTTTAATTTTTTTTTTATTTTGTCATTCTATGTCTTTGATTTCTATGTCTTAATCTACCTTCCAGTTGTTTTTTTACGTTTTTTTACATTAGAAATATCTAATTTCATTACACAGTGAACCAACCAAGTTCAAAATGAAGTTTTTATGTCACTGGATGGTCACACGTATGGATTCCTTCTCCTTCTAAATGCCGATCATGATTAACGGTCAATTTCTGGTAATCCCTCAGGACTGCTGCAAGTTACTGGCGGTATCGTCATATACCTAGTTCCAGAGTACAGTGGGAGGGAGAATAATTGCTTCTTCGCCAATAACTCTGGGCACTGCAAATGTTCAAATACTGCTGAGGCGATTACAAGAGGTCCCCAGAGGCGGCTCAAGTGTTAACGGCGGGTTTTGATTGCCCTGACGTGCTTACCATTTGGCCCGGGTAGATGAGGAAGTTCTGAAGTACATGGTGACACTTTAAAAGCACACTGAAGATAGAGGAGGATTGATAAACACGTCCTGACATTCTAATCAGTAAATGTGTGCATATATGTGTCCTAATTGCTCAAGATAACTTCCTCCTGATCACTTTTTACTTTCTCAACTTCGCATAGCATTTTTCGTCAGTTAGAAATGCCTTCTGTTGCCGGCAGAAGATTTGGCCAAGGAACCGAGTTGCCTATTACGCTGTACTCGTTAGTTTAACTCCTGAATTGCGGTTAGGACCACGGTTATTTAGGTACACTCTATCTGTGTATAAGTACCGGTGCAATAGCTCAATAGGGAAGAGTGCTCGCTTTGTAACCGGGAGGTCGTGAGTTCAAACCGGGTCATACCAAAGACTTTAAAGATAATACATACTGCTTGGCACTCAGCATCTATGAGAAAGAGTATGAGAAGGTCAAACACACAACACTACCAGCGGGCTAGCCCCCTGCTGTAGTGCTTGCAGAAGTGTGGCCCAAGGGCTACAGAAATGGGGATGGACACCACCCCTATGCTCCGCAAGGAGTGCAAAGGGACCTTCTTCTTCTTCCTATCTGTGTATAACAGACATCTTCCTATCTGTGTATAGTAGGGATTGTTGATCTCCAAGGGATTGCCAATGCACAATGATCTCCATTGTCACTTCTGGGCCAAATTTGAAATGTCAAATCAGGCCGCAGGCAATGCTCAGGCAAACTCTAAAGTCTATATAGTATTCACACTGTTGACTTTCTACTGGTCCTACTGGAGACAGTCATATCTCCTAACGCAGTACTGAGTTGACATATCAGTACAGAACGTCTTGTAACATTAATGCACTTACAAGGCTGTGAGTTGATAATTGTTCCTGATAGCATCATGCCATGACCCTACAGACTTCCGTGTATATCTACTAAGGCCATCATTCCACTT